ACGTAAATAATGCTGATATATTGATTTTCCAAGCGTAGCTTAGATGTGGCACAAGGCCGAAAGTACAGGACACCCAGTGAGGATTGAACTCACTACTCGGTCGTAATTGATCTAGCAAGACTTTTTTTCCTTTAGACTGACGTAAATAATGCTGATATAGTGATTTTCCAAGCGTAGCTTAAATGTGGCACAAGGCCGAAAGTAGAGGGCACTCAGGGAGGACCGAACTTGCTACTCAGCCGTAATTACTCTAGCAAGACAAGCTTGTTAACCATTACACCACCTCAAGGTGCTCGTCATCAACGATGAATATATTCCTCTCATCTTTTACAATCTGTCACCTAAAAATGTATTATCAATTTGGAAAAGGCAAAAAAAAAATTATGGAGTCTGAAAAGTGAAGCTAGTTAAGTTTATTTGCATTTTTTTTTTCCTCGCTTACAAAATGCAGAAAATATTTGTTCCTGAAATACCAATGGACGGATGACCTCGGTATGATGAATAAGCGGTAATTAAATAGGCTCTGAGGATGTTTGCTGATCCTTGAGAAAAATGAAGAAAGTCTCGAGAGGAAATGTCTAGAAGAAAGTCGGCAAGAAATCGTAGGGAATTTCTGTAGAATTCTGGAACGTTACCAATTTGGGGGGAAAACAATGTGATGACAACTTTATCCCATGATAGTTGATACATTCGAATAGACATTTTAAACACAATACCTGATAATTATTATAAGACAGGACAACTGCTGCTTTTTTTTACGCTTTCCCCAAATTCTCACCTTCTTAGATATTTTGGCATTTCATTTTTTTCTTTTCTTTTTTTCTTTCTTTTTGCTTCTTCTGTTTTTTCTTTTCTTTTTCTCTTTTCTTTTTCTCTTTCATTATTCTCTTTTTCTTTTACATTTCGTTTTAGCTTTTTTTTCTTTTCCTCTTTTTCTCATTTCTTTTTTCTTATTTCATCTCTTTTCTGTTTTGCTTTTTCTTTTCTTTTTCTCTTTTTCTTTTTTCTTTCTTTTATTTTTCACTTTTACTTTTTCATTTTTCTTTTTCTTTTTGTTTTCTCTTTTCTTTTTTTTCTTTTCTTTTTCTCTTTTCTTTTTTTCATTTATCTTTTACTCTTTTTCTTTTTGCTTTTCTTTTTTCTTTTTCTTTTCTTTTTGTCTTTTTCTATTTTCTTCCATTTTTCACTAATCCTTTACTTTTTCTTTCCTTTTTCTCTTTTCTCTTTTGCTTTTTTCTCTTTCTCTTTTTTCTTTTCACTTTTTCTTTATTCTTTACTTCTTTCTTTTTTCTTTCTATTTTCTTTTTCTATTTTTTTTCTCTTTTCTTTTTACTTTTCTTTTCATTTTCTTCTTCTTTTCTTTTACGCTTTTTTCCTTTTTCTTTCCTCCTTTTCTTTTTTCGTTTCCTTTTCTTTTCCTCCTTTTCTTTACTCATACTTTTTCTCTTTGTCTTTTCCTTTCCTTTTTTTCTTTTTCTTTTTTTCTTTTTTTACTTTCTTTTTCGTTTTTCTTTCCGTTTTTCCTTTTATTTCACGTTTTCTTTTCTTTTTCTCTATTTCTTTTTTCTTTTTTTTCTCTTTTTTACTTTCTTTTTCGTTTTCTTTTCCTTTCCTGTTTCTCTTTTTTTTCCTTTTCGCTTTTTCTTTTTAATTTATTCATCTCTTTTTCTTTCCCTTTTCCTTGTTTCCTCTTGCTTTTCATTTTCTTTTTCTTTCCTTTATCCCTTTTTCTCTTTCTTTTATTTTTCACTTTTTCTTTTTCTTAATTTTTGTTTCTTTTTGTCTTTTTATCTTCTTACTTTTCTTTTTCTATTTTTCTTTTCTTTTTCTTTCCTTTTCCTATTTTTGCTTTTTAATCCCTTTTTTCTTCTTCTTGTTTTCTTTACTTTTCTTTTTCTTTCTATTTTTAATTTTTATTCTTTTTTCTTCTTTTTCCATAATTTTTTCTTTTCTTCTTCTTCTTGTTTGCTTTCTTTTTTCTATTTCTTACATTTTTCTTTTTTATCTTTTTCTTTTATTTGTATGTTACTTTTCTCATTTTTCTGCTTTTCTACTTTTATTTTCAATTTTCTTTTTCCGTTTTCACTTTATTTTTCCTATTTCTTTTTCTCTTTTTATATGTACGTTTTATCTCTTCTTTCCCCTTTTTGCTTTGATTTTTATCTTCCAAATTTCCATTCTTTTTCATTTCTCCTTTTTCTCCTTCTCTTTCCATTCTATTTCATTTCTCCTTTTTCCCTTCCGTTTTCTATTCATTACACTTTTATCTAATATATTTTATTTTCTCCCAAAGACCCCATGTGAAGTGATTCCGGTTATTTGGTACAGTTCTTTTGTGATTCTGTAGCGCCAAGACACGCGGTTCGAAGAAGGACGATCCTCTCTAAGACCAACACTCAAACGGAGATTTTTTTCCCGCCTATGTAGAGACGGTGTTAATAAAGGGCATTCCAATAACTTGGACCGAATTTAAATGTGAATTAAGTTTATGCATCTAATGATTTTTTTTCTTTTTGTTCCAGATTTGGCGGACATTTGGGCGATATTATTTTTCCCACATAATTGCCATGATTTAAATAACAGGATCCAATAGAGAAATAAATAAATTTTCACCAATAACACTTATTTACTGGCGACTTTGATCCGTCTTAATGAAAAACCCTTATAGATAATCCGTCTTAATGAAACACCCTTTACATATATATATATATATATAAACTCTAATCTCTCTCTCCATCTCTCTCCCCCTCTCTCCCCTCTCTCTCTCCCCCCACTCTCTCTCTCTCTCTCTCTCTCTCTCTCTCTCTCTCAATCTACTCGGAGTAAAACATCCAAATACACAGTTTACCATCCTTGTGCCAACGGTATTGTGGAAAGATTTTACAGGCAGCTAAAAACTGCATTAGCCATAAGCAGAATCATCATTCACCATTGTTTTTGGCAAGAGATCACATAAGCCATCCACCCTGACTATTTGGCCCCTAACCGTGAAGCGTGGATGGTGACTCTGTGATGGGTTATGCAGCCACATCACGGAATTCTCCCGATCCTTTAGTAGTTTTACATGTCAGAGTTAACGCTGAGTATTATCTGGCTATTTTCTATTATCTTGTGCATCCTATGATACAAATATTGTTCGGTGATGTTAAAGCAGTCATTCAGGAAAATAATGCACCGATTCACACGGTTAATGTTATAAAGGCTGTTCCAATAACGGATATTCTTTCGTGCCTATGTAGAGGCGATGTTAATAAAGGGTGTTCCAATATCTTCGACCGATTTTAAATGCGAATTAAGTTTAAGCATCTAATGATTTTTTTCCTTTTCTTTCAGATTTAACACCATAAGTCTTTGCCAATTTCAACCATGGAAAGATTAACAATCAAAGAAAGTGTTAAAGTTATCGAAGGCTATTACGAAAATGGACGTTTAAACAGAATTTGAATGAGAAGTCCCCAGGTCGCATCATTTCTCGAAACAACGAAGACAATTGGCCACCACGATCGTGTGACTATGACGCCTTTAGAGTTCTTCCTTTGGGGTCATCTCAAAAGTAAGGTCTATGCCAACAAGCCAATAAGAATTCAACAGCTGAAGGATGAGATAATAAGGCATATTGGTGAGATCGAGGAGCAACTATGCAGAGACGTCATCAAAAAATTTTGACCACCAAGTGGAGGTGTGTCGCTGAAGCCTTGGCGGACATTTAGGCGATATTATTTTTCACACATAATTGCCATGACTTAAATAATATGATCCAATAGAGTAATAAATAAATTTTCACCAATAGCACTGATTTATTTACGACTGACTTCGATCCGTCTTAATGAAACACCCTTATATATAACCCGTCTTAATGAAATACCGTATATTTTTGAAGCCGGACGAGAGTTCTACAAGCGAGAAGTGTGACAGAGGAAACTGATAGCATAGAATTTACGGATATGTAAATGGCTAACATTTCAACGCTAAAATGATTATATCTTGCCGCCAATCTAGTAGTTCGCTTAAATTCATAAAGTCAAGATATCATAGAAGAAAGATTCTCGGAAAAATTACCTTGAAAAGATTTATAGAAGAGGCACAAGGAAGTTACGTTAAGACGTTGGGAAAGTGACTGAAGCCGAGATGCCAGGTTAGGACAAATAACGTTACAGATTGTTGTTGTTTTTTTAAATCTCCAAATACACAGCAGAAGCGGCAGACCAAATGCGGCAACAACATTCAATGCCTGGCTGAATGGTATATTTATGAATGTGTAAGACAGATCCTAGCGAGAAAAATTGTCCTTCAAAACACAGTGAAGCAACTTTACAAGCAATAGATATAGCAATATTTGATTTAATATAATCTGTCCACTTCATGTCAACGGAAAACGTTGGGCCGAGAAATCATAAATAATGCATTATTGATTAAGTGAATTAGTCAAATTATATATATATATATATATATATATATATATATATATATATATATATATATATATATATGTATATTTAAGCTAAATTTTTCATTAATGCATGTTTCATTAAATAATATAGACAAGTTTTGTCTATTTATTTTAAATAAGTTCCTTTCATATTGTCTGATTTATTGAAATTGTCATCTTTGATAATGGCTTGTGTAAGCCGAAAAAGCTTAGATTGGATTTAAACATGTATCAATATGGTGATTTCCTTTTGTCTTTCAATGATAATATTATTAAGCTTATCAGACAATATGAAAAGAACTTACTTAAAATAAATAGACAAAAACTTGTCTATATTATTTAATGAAACAACGATAATATATATATATATATATATATATATATATATATATATATATATATATATGACGTGAAACTGATCATGGTTTCTCAACTCAGTCTAACTTTTGAAATTCATAGAACTGTGAAAACAGTAAAGTTGCTCTAAATAAATATTCTTAAAGATTCCAATTGTATTTTCCACTTCTTTTGCTGTATATACAAGGTTATTCAAAAAGAATGAACCGATTCCATGTCGCATTGCTTCAGTTCTCAAGCATCGTCATGGAATGAGTCAGTGACCATTTGAAAGAGTTTTTTAAGCTTTGAATGGCTGCCACAGGGGGCGCTGTAGTCGCGTCTTATCTCCGGCAACGTTCAGTGGTTTGTTTACCCCCGGAACGGCGAGTCCTCAGCAAAAGGCGTTCTGCGTTCTCGAGTTCGTGTTAATAATGCTTTTGTCAAGGTGTAGCGTGCTTTTCGAAGACAATTCGACATTCATCCGCCCTCTCCTAAAACATTCGCCGGCACTTTAAACAGATTCAAGAGAATGGGTGTCTGTGTAAAGAAAAAAGTCGACTACGAGTTTCGGAGAAACCGTGCTCCATTTCTGAAAATGTAGTTTTTCCTATATATATATATATATATATATATATATATATATATATATATATATATATATATGACGAATATAGTCTTAAGGTGTGCTATATTTATGGGATAAAGTGCTCAATATCAAAGATAGAGCGTGTGTAAATATAAAAGTGAACATAGAAGTCAACACTTAGAGGCGACAGTCTGTTTTATGCTATATGCAATTGTCGTGGCCTGACGATTGCATATAGCATGAAACAGTCTGTCGCCTCTAAATTTCTATGTTCACTTATATATATATATATATATATATATATATATATATATATAAAATAAAGAAAAGAACAGTCAGATTAAAAATCCACAATTCTTTGGCATTTATTTTTTTTTTTTTTAAATGTGCTCAATACAAAATCGAGCTTAATATGTCATTCGTTTGACTGAAACATTGAAATATATAAATTCTGTATCAATTTTCCGACTGCTGTCAAAGTTAAATATTTAATTCCGACATGAGCTCAGTCTGTATACGGGAGTTGAAGAAGACTGACGAAGTTTTCGTCGTCTGCTGAAACAGGTCTCTGCCCCATATGAGGTAATTTTGCATTGTACGGTTTACTACTACTAGTATATATATATATATATATATATATATATATATATATATATATATATATACATACAAATATAGATAAGCATACTCGTTTCGAAAAACACTCGAATTTTTGATTTGCCAATAATCAAATCAATCTCGATGGAAAAAAAGGTTTTAAAAAAGGAAAGAGCTACAAACATGAACTTCTGTCGACAAAAAATCGCACAGATGCAGGTCTGAAGCCCAAAGAAAAAGCCCCGATACGAGTAAACAACTAACTAAAAAAAGAGCTCAATACAACCGTAGAGCAGACCTAGATACACCTAGTGAGCCAGACAAACCTACCCAGGTTTCACCTAAACGGATCGTCAGGGAAAGTAAGGCCTTACTTGCCCTGACGATCCGAAAAAATGAATGTCTAACTCCTCTTTCTCTATATATATATGTGTGTGTGTGTGTGTGTGTGTGTGTGTGTGCGTGTGTGTGTGTGTGTGTCCCCACAATTTCTTTCTCCGTGTTTCGCACTTTTTCTCTCTTTCTTTAAATCTTTCTCTTACTCTTCCACACCTTCTCTAATTCTTGAAGTAAACGCAAGTTCTAAGCTAACACTTTCTTCTCCAGCACTTCTCGCTTGTGGAACTCTCTTCCGGCTTCTTGCGTTACAATCTTCAAAAATTTAAATGTAATGTCAATCATTATCTTCTGTCTTCTTAATTCATATCCTTTTAGTGTTCTCTCTCCTTAATATTTTTTCTCATTTTTCTCAGTGACCCTTTGCGTTTTCGTAGCATTATTGTCCTTGCTGGGGGTGCAAGGATTTAAAAAAATTTCTCTTTCTCATTCTTTGTTTTTCTCTCTTTTTCTTCTCTCTTTATCGTTTTATTTCTATTTCTTACATTCTTTTTTTTCTTCTCTCTTTCTCCTTTCTTCTCTATACAACTCAACTTTTATGTAATCCTTCACTTTCATTAATTATTATCCACTAAGCTTAATTTTATACGGGGCACAAGAGCAACTAGGGAGAAAAGTTGAGGTGAGGAATATCGTGTTAATGCTATTCCTTCAAACTCTTTCCACATTTCAATTTTTTTACCCGTCTTCTTATTTTCTTTCTCTTTTTCATTCTTATTCCATTTGTCTTCTAAAATTTTTCTTTCTTTCTTTTATTCATTCATTCAATTCTTTCTTTCTGATCCCGCTTGTCTAAAACTTTTATTTTCTTCCTTTCTTTCTTTTTCTTTCTTATATACATACATACATAAAGAAATGGACAAGGTCCGACAATTTATTTATTAAAGACATTTTTATGTTTAACGTTGTTATTTATAGATACAAGTATTTAAGCAAATGCTCTGTTTATGATAAACAGTATTAAATAACATTTACAGAGCAGTTATGAATGTACGAGATTCATGGAAGATTGAAGTTTATAAGCAGTAAATTCGACCTTGTCTGCCGAAAAGGTTCTTTGTGGCCCAGAGGTAAGGCACGTCAGCGTAAATGACGGTTCCGTATAGGATGCAGGTTCGAATTCTGTCAAAGAACAAATATTTTCTATGAAAATTTCTCGGACATTCAGGCCGGTAAATGTTATTTAATACTGTTTATCATAAACAGAGCATTTGCTTAAATACTTGTATCTATAAATAACAACGTTAAACATAAAAATGTCTTTTATATATATATATCGTTCCTTCTTTCTTGTGTATTTTTCGTTCTTTCTTTATTTCATTTGTTTTCTAAAAATGTTCTTTTCTTTTCTTTCTGTGTTTCGTTTGTTCTTTTTTCGTTCTCATTTCCTAAAACTTTTTCTTTCTTAATCCATTTTTGTTTTTTTCAATCTTAAACTTCTTTCTTTGATTCGTTCATTCCTTCGTTCTTTAATTCTTTTTTTCTTTCTTTCTTACTTGTTTTCAAAAACTCTTCTTTCTTTCTGTCTTTCGTTCTTTCTTTCTTTCTTTCTTTCTTTCTTTCTCATTCCATTTGTTTCCTAAAACTTTTTCTTTCTTTCTTATTTCATGTCTGTTTACTAAAACTTATCATTCCTTCTTTTATTCATTCAGTCATTCGTTCTCTCTTTAATTCTTTTTTCTTTCTTTCTTACTCCACTTGTTTTCAAAAAATTCCAGTTTTCCTTTTTGATCCCGCTTGTCTAAAATTTTTTCTTTTTTCTTTCTTTCTTTCTTTCTTTTTTCTTTCTTTCTTTCTATCTTTCTTTCTTTCTTTTTTCTTTCTTCCTTTCTGTCTTTCTTTCTTTCTTTTTTCTTTCTTCCTTTCTGTCTTTCTTTCTTTCTTTTTTCTTTCTTTCTTTCTATTTTCTTTCTTTCTTTTTTCTTTCTTCCTTTCTGTTTTTCTTTCTGTCTTTTTTCTTTCTTTCTTTCTATCTTTCTTTCTTTCTTTTTTCTTTCTTCCTTTCTGTCTTTCTTTCTTTCTTTTTTCTTTCTTTCTTTCTATCTTTCTTTCTTTCTTTTTTCTTTCTTCCTTTCTGTCTTTCTTTCTTTCTTTTTTCTTTTTTCCTTTCTGTCTTTCTTTCTTTCTTTTTTCTTTCTTTCTTTCTATCTTTCTTTCTTTCTTTTTTCTTTCTTCCTTTCTGTCTTTCTTTCTTTCTTTTTTCTTTCTTCCTTTCTGTCTTTCGTTCGTTCGTTCGTTCGTTCGTTATTTCTTTCTTTCTTTTTTTCTCATTCCATTTGTTTTCTAAAACTTATTTTTCTTTCATTCTTTCTTTCATTCATTAATTCTTTCCATTTTTACTTCTTTTTTCTTTCTTTCTTACTCCACTTCTTTTCAAAATCTTTCCATTCTTTCTTTCTTATTGTGCTTTTCTAAAACATTTTCTTTCTTTTTTTTCCGGTCGTTAGTTCTTTCTTTCTTTTTCTAATTGTTTTCTAAAACTCTTTCTTTCTTTCTTTCTTTCTTTCTTTCTTTCTTTCTTTCTGTTCTCCAACCCTTAATAAGACAATATGAATATGAATTAAACAATAACGTAATTTCAGCTCACATTCACTATCCCTGGGAATCTGTCAGGCACCAAATTTATTCAGATCTTGTTCATCACAATTTTAAGAATCACATCAAAGAAATTCCCATATTTTCCGAATATTACGTATTACCAGATGTAAACAAAGAATATGGCAAGACTAAAATTTGGATAAAGAGAAATTTGGCTCTAAGACTAAAAATTTTAATGACACTTGAAACTTAGTTTTGTAACTTAATCGCTCAGGTGCTGCCTATATCGGACAGATTTCGATGCAAGTTTATTTCTCATCGGAAACGAATTATTTATTTCCAACTTATGCTGCTTGTTTAACGGTCAGAGGATTTAAAACGTGAGTTGATAAAAAGAAATGGAAACGAAAAAAACTAATAAAATGAATTGATAATGACAATGTTTCATCTAACAAATTCAAAAAGACTACTCTTTCTACTATTACTATAAGGTGTGAAAAGCTTCTTCTTTTATGTGCTATGTCTCTTCAGGACGTAAGCGATCATGGCTCTCCACATCTTCCTGTTTCTTAATACGTTTTGTGTTTTTGATATTTCTCCCAAACCTTGTCCTACCATCCATTTAGTCAAGCTTATCAAATATGTTTCATACCACTTTCCTCTGTCCCTCTTTCCCTCACTCTGTCCCGGGAGTGTCAAGTTTTCCAAGGCTTCCTTCCTCATTACTTGCCCAAGAAATTTTAACTGCCACTTTAGGATGTTCAGTATAAGTTTCCTTTTTGTTTCCATTTTCTCCAAAACCTCGTCGTTTCTCACATGTTCAGTCTATCGTATCTTCAGCATATTTTTGTTCACCCTGGGTAAGACGATAAACTACATCCGCGTCCTGGATAAAACGATAATCTACCTCCGCGTCCTGGGTAAGACGATAAACTACCTCCGCGTCCTGGATAAAACGATAAACTACATCCGCGTCCTGGGTAAGACGATAAACTACCTCCGCGTCCAGGGTAAAACGATAAACTACATCCGCGTCCTGGGTAAGACGATAAATTACCTCCGCGTCCTGGGTTAGACGATAAACTACAACCGCGTCCTGGGTAAGACGATGGACTACATCCACATCCTGGGTAAGACGATAAACTACATCCAACAGCAAGGCCTCTGATCAGGAGGTTTCGAGGAGCGTGGAACCATCTCTTAATTGCTGGTGTTCCCAGGTTCACCTGTTAGGGTTCCAACTATGAAACCCAAACTCGGGTCAAGGCACTGTGAAAGTTTAAAAATAGATTTTAATACGAGAAATGAATTCTTTGAGGAAAAATTATTACCGGCAATACATTTTTGAAGAAAAAAATATTACCAGCAGTACACGTTTGTAAATAATTATTATCAACAATACATTTTGGAAGGAAAAATATATTACCAGTAATGCATTTTTGAAGGAAAAAATATTAGCAGCAATAAAAATCTTGTCGGCATTAAATAACCTATTGAGGTTGATATACCGTAAAAAAAAACACAAACGAAACCATTTCTGTTGATTCACGTCTCTTCTCTATCTTGAGGAGATTGACTAGCATTCGCTGCCGTACAGTAGATATTACGTAACAGTTCAGTACACTTTTCTTTTAACGAACTTAAACAAGTAGCGAAATTAAAATGAAAGGGATACTAAACGATTACTTTCTGAAAATGCTAAATCTAAGACACTCGAACTTAAGACTACTAAGTCTACTATTACAAGTCGTAAAACTAGCAACCGAAATAAAATGAAAGGAATACTAAACGATTAATACTGAAAATGCTAAAGACATTCGAACACTATGTCATCTACTACTACTACTACTACTATTTCCTTTTCTATGTTCCGTGTCTCTTCAGGACGTAGGCGATCATGGTTCTCCAAAATGTCCTGTCTTCTTTAGCCCTTAATAATTTTTTTCTTTTTGTTATTTCTTCCAGATGTTGTCCCGCCATCCATTTTCTCAAGGTCACTAAGTAAGTTATGCGTTGTGACCCTCCAAGATTTTCCAAACCCTCTTTCCTCATTATGAACCCTAGAGAATTCAGCTATCTCTCCTTTGTGTTTCTATTTTCTCTAAAACCTCGTCATTACTCACGTTTTCGGTCTACGGTATCCTCAGCATCCTCCTGTAGAACCATATTTCTACTGCCTCGAGCCTCCTCTTAATCTGTAAGGAGATTGTTTGCATTCACTGGAGGACTGATATTACATAGCATAGATGGAGTTATGGATAGTGGCTCGGATTGAGGAATCGGAGAGCCGAGTTCGAATACCAGTCGAATCCATTACATTCACTTACGTGCTAATACCCTTGGGAAAGGTATGAATCCTCTTCTTCTCCCCCAGCTATGGGTGAAATAGCAGGACAGACTGGGTTCTATAGCCTTGGATGGCAACTGGTCTACCGCGGAAAGAAATGGTAACCTACTGTGGCAAAAATTTGTGCCTCGTCAGTCATGTATCGAAAGATACATGATCGCCTAACCGTGTATCACGCATGGCACATAACTGACTGAGAGGAAAACTATACTTAGCCGACGCGTTTCGTCCTCTGATGAAAAAGAAAGAAGATATACATTTTCAAAAATTTTTTCTCTTCTTCTATATGCCCTGTCCCTTCTGGGCGTTGAGGATCATGGCTCTCCACAACTTCTTGTCATTTTGTAGTTCTTTTTGCCTTTTTGTTATGAGTTCGAAATACAGTCGAATCCATTACACTCACTCACGTGCTAATACCATTGAAAAAGCTATGAATCCTCTTCCTCTCCCCCAACTCCCAGCCTAGCCTTGGATGGCAACTGGTCTAACGCGAAAAGAAATGGCAATCTACTGCGGGAAAAAAATCTGCCTCGAAAGATACATGATCGCCTAAGCGTGTATCACGCATTGTACATAACTGAACTGATTCTTTTCTTTGTTCCTAACGAAATGTTTCTGTTTCTTAATACTTTGCTTAGCTTTTGGAAGGCATCTTTGGTATCCCAAGACGCCTTTACAAGGAGTAAACAGGCAACTTAAGACTATTACGTCTACTACTACTAAGTGGGAGAAAGCAGAAAAATAAGATGAAAGAAAAACTAGTCAGAATAAAATAATAGGGTCAATGTTTCATCAAAGAAATTCGAAAAATTTAAAACTATAAATATATTGTTTTTGTGTGCGTGTGTGTTTTATGTAAAAAAAACAAACTAGGGTGCCTTTATTAGTATTATACAAAAAGGTAAGTAAACTTTTGTTTATCTAAATATCTAGGGCGCTAGACGAACATGATAGCAGGTGCGCTTGTCATGTAAGACTGATATTTTGTTTCTCATTGAGGTTCACTGAATATGTCCAGTTGCCAAAAAATTGGTTTAACTCAGTAAATATCTACATTTGAAAAAGTTATGCTTCGAAATAGACATTTTCTAGATATTAAATTCATTGCCTTTCCTCTGGCCGACATTCTCTCTCTCTCTCTCTCTCTCTCTCTCTCTCTCTCTCTCTCTCTCTCTCTCTCTCTCTCTCTCGCTCACTCTATATATATCATACGCACTCTCTCTCTCTCTATCTCTCTTAACTACTTTCACTTTTTATTTCTCTTTTGATTTTTCTTTCTCTCACTCACTCTCTATATATATATCATACGCTCTCTCTCTCTCTCTCTCTAAAGAGTAGACTACTGTCGCTTTTTACTTCTCTTTCGCTTTCTTTTACTTTCTTTCTTTCTTACTTTCTCGCTCACTACCTATCTATCTATCTATCTATCTCTTTCTCTCCCTCTAAAGATTAAACTACTGTCACTTCTCTTTTTCTTTTACTTTCTCTAATTCACTCTCTATATATGTCACTCTCTTTCTCTCTCTCTCTCCCTCTCTCTCTCTCTCACTATCTATCTATCTATCTCTCTCTTTCTCTTTCACGATTAAACTACCGTCACATTCCTTCTCTGTCACTTTATTTTTCTCTCCCTCTCTCTAACGATTACACTATTGCCATTTCACTTTCTCTCTCCTTTTCTCTAACAATAAAACTAACGTCACATCTCTTTCTCCTTCGCTCTCTTTCTCTCTCTCTCTCTCTCATTCTCTTTCGCTCTCTCTCTTTCTCTCTCTCTCTCATTCTCTTTCGCTCTCTCTCTTTCTCTCTCTCTCTTTCTCTCTCTCTCTTTCTCTCTCTCTAACGATTAAACTACCGTCATTTCTATCTCTCTTTCTCTTTCTTTTTCCCTTTCTCTTTTTAACAATTAAATTATCATTACTTCTCTGTCTCTCTCTTTCTCTCTCTCTCGATTAAACCACCATCACTTCTAACTTCGCTTTCCAATATCTATCTATCTATCTATCCATCTATCTATCTCAACCTATTCAAATTACCATTACATCTATGTATGTAGGTATGTATGTATGTATCTATCTCAACCTGTTCAAATCACCATGGCATCTATCTATCTATCTATCTATCTATCTATCTATCTATCTATCTATCTATCTATGTTCTTATCTCTCAAACACACTGGCTCACTAACTCACTATCTATCTATCTTAGTCTATTCTGATCTATCTATCTTAGTCTATTCTAATCTATCTATGTATCTATCTATCTATCTATCTATCTCAGTCTATTCTAATCTATCTATCATATTTTTCTTTACTAAGCTCAGACTATTCCGGCTAACGGAGCAAGCAATGCAAATGCCGGAAAATCCTTTATGTAATTTTAATAGATTATACAAATCTTCAAAGTCCATTCAAGAACCATCAAGAGAACGGTGAAGAAGTTTAAAAAAAGAGACAACAGCAGAGAGGGAAACTGGATCAGGGGGTCACAACAGGAACAGGGCTCATCATTTCAACTAAAGATATTGATTAGAAAAGATCCAACTCAATCCATATGATGTTCGGTACGTGAGAGAGGAGATTCAGCTATAACATTCCAAAGAGCAATGAAAAAAAGACTTCGAAATGAAATCGTACGTGAAACTTGTGAGGCACCTTTTTACTTCAGGACAGAAATTTAGAAGGTTAGAGAGGGCGAAGATCATACTGGAAATATATATATATATATATATATGAACTTTATTTCAATTTTATATATATATATATGAACTTTATTTCAAACCTTCATGAGATTCCGATACTTAGCTATGATTAATTAATGATACATTCCATACATTCTTTTTGCTCAAATAGTGTTCTAAAAGCCTCGGAAAATTCCAGTAAGATATCTTTAATCATTTCTTAAATAGAACAGTTCAAAGCTTAATCTAACAATTAGACAATTTTGCTGTTACACAATTTTGACAATTTTGCTGTTACACCCAGTATACATCAGTAATTGCTGCATATATTATTTTAACTTTCAGAATTTAAAACATTTTTTTTAATTTATTTTACAAGCTTTTTTTTTTAAGATAGGTGATTTTCTCCGGGAGCATATGCATAAATATTAATGGACAAATAAGAAAGCGATGTAAGACATGGTTGTGTTTTCTCACCAGACTTATTCAACCTTTACAGTGAGGCGATTCTGAGAGATCTAGAAGTCCTGCTAGGATTCGTTATTGGCGGCCACAATCTTAACAACATAAGATATGCAGATGACGCAGTGTTGATAGCAGACACAGGAAGAAAACTAGAAGACCTCCTACAGAAGGCAGTGAAGGAAAGTGAGAAGAAAGAATTAAATATCAATTTCAAGAAGAGATAATGCATGGTTGTTAGTAAAAGCAGCAACCCAATTATAAATTGGAGTTATCAAAATCAAACAAGTACAAAAATTTGAATATCTGGGAAATGTTTTAACAGAGTAGGAGAAGTGCAACACCGAAACCTCAAAGCGTATTTGGATAACGAAAGATGCCTTCCGGAATCTAAGCAAAGTATTAAGAAACTGGAATATCTTGTTAGAAACAAAAAAAGAGTACTGAACTTTTTGGTAATATCTGTTCTCTTATATGACAGTGAAGAAGAAGCAACAGAAATGTGGTTCTACAGTCGGATACTGAAATGTGGTTCTACAGTCGGATCTGATATGAGCAGATTATATGAGCAAAGATGAAGTTTTAGAGACAAAGAAAATAAAAAGGACACTTATACTTAACATCTGAAAGAGTCAGTAGAAATAATGAGGAAAGAAGGCTTGGAAAATTTGATGCTCGCAAGACAGACTGGAGGCAAGCGAAACAAATGAAAGCAACGCATAACATACCTAGAGAGCTTGAGTAAATGGATGTCAGAACGGGGTTTAGGAGAGATTACAAAAAAAGATGAAATTTATTAAGAACTACAAAGGACAGGAAATTGTGGAGAATCATGATCGCCAACGTCTTGAAGAGATACGGCACATAGAAGAAAAGCTATAAGTTCCGCCCTCGTGTTTAGCTCTAAGAAAAAAAAAAGAAAACTCAACAGTTTCTGCAAGCACATGCCCTTGTGGATTGAGGGAATAGTGTTCCTCTCAACTATAAACTGTCTATAAAACCTGTTTGTTCTTTTCTCGTGTTCTTCTTCTTTTGTTCCGAAACAATTACCTGTTTGTGCGGAACTAGTTCTCGGAGCAATAGAAATGAAACGAGTTCATATTGAGTCGAACGTCATGTAGAGAAGAGACATTTGCAATGGTCGTAAAAAAGACCGCTCATACTGGTACACCTGGCTGCTTTCGCATCGACCCCAGCCTCTGTCTCGTCCGTATCAGAACGAGGCTGAACGAGCGACATTAAGCAGATGATTCGAATCTTCTTCATCAAATGGATTTCTAAAGCTATGTCTGTGGCGATTCGTTCATTCTTGCCTTTGCACTTATACATAAAGGCGGTTTTTATGAATAAGCTCTTGTGGTTGCATCTGTCTCTAATTCGGTTAAAAATGTTTTATTGGTGGGTGGTTCTACTTATTTGCGGTATGTGTCTGCGCGCGCACACAAGATTCCTAACTTAAGCATTTGTGGTCCCCACTCCACACAAGCGAGAAATTTTGGTCGATTGTTCTTTGCTGTTTCTGAGCATTCATATCTCAAAAGCCATTGGATTTAAAATTAACGTTTTGCAGACACATTATATAACGTTCCTTTGCGGGAACAACTATTTTGATGGAATATATGACTTCCATCTCTCTGGTTTACTTATAAATAATTTTTTTTTATCAACTTTATTTTTCAAAAAATAGAGTACAGGTTTTCTCTTTGTTCTATTTTTAATCATTCTTAAGCTAAAATACGAACATTTCAGAATGTTTGGGTGTCAATCTGAAGACATTGAAGAGGATTCGAAAACAGATTGATGATATATCCACTTAACATCATGGCGTTTGGCATGATCACTAGTGGTGCCGACGTTATGCCTCTATTAATCTTGCCATAAGGCCTCAACCTCAACACGGAGGCCTACATCAAGTGCCTTTAGGAAGTAGTGCTGCCCCGGGACAAGAAGGTGACTGCTGATAGATCCTATGTCTGGCAACAGGACTCTACGCCATGCCACACAAGCAAAACCCAGTCATGGCTGCCAGATAATTTCTGCGGCCACATCACCCCCTTACATATGGCCACATAACTCCCCAGATTATTATGTGTGGTGCGCAGTTGAGTGAGAGACCACCAAAATTCTTTGTAACACCAAAGATGAACAGAAGGCAAGGATATTGGCAGCATTCATCAACTTAAGCAAGGAGACTGTCCAGAAGAGATGCAGGAGATTCTGAATTCATCTGGAGGCTCTGGTTGAAGCCAATGGCGATTTTATTGAATAAATTTTTCTCTTTAGTATTTCAAGATATTTTGGGGTAATTTTACTAAATATATCTGTTTAAATGTCAGTGTTATTTTTCATTTTAGAGTCATTTAGACGACAATTCATCCATCGCCCTCTCTACTTGCGTGACTATTACGCGAATCAGCAAAATAAATCGTCTGTCCCAACAACTGACTGTCATATAATTATAGCACTAATTATGTTCGTTAGGCAAAGTGCATTAATGACATTTAACAATTCGAAATGTAATGAAGACATAAACATTTTTTAGTCACGAATTCCCAACGAGAATTTGGTAGCTACCAATTATTTCGAGCCATTTCTTGGACCTCAACGTAAAACTAAAATAGCAGCATTGTCTAAAGTACCCACCTTGCACATGCTTTGCTTATACTTAGAGAAACGAAAGGGGACAATGGTCACTAGAGTCACGTATCAAGATTTACTGACCACTATAAAAGGAAATGGAGTTTCTTTTACTGGACACGTATGAAAACGAAACCCTTCGCTAATATTTTAATCTCAAATATGCGTCCAGGGCGATATGAAGCATATAACGGACACTGCAATTTTATCCTTCATTCAAAAGAATTGAATTAGATGGGGGGGTCAAAGATTAGATATGAGCAAATAATCAGAAGGTTATATATATATATATATGTGTGTGTGTGTGTGTGTGTGTGTGTGTGTGTGTGTGTGTGTGTGTGTGTGTGTGTGTGTGTGTGTGTGTGTGTGTGTGCTTCGTACTTTTCGGCCTTGTACCACATCTAAGCTATTCCTAATGTACAGCCAGTTAGATCAGGGCTACAGGAATGCATGACGCCTATGGCTAAGATACAAAGACAAGCTGGAAAG